AACCCGTTACTAGCGTGGTGTACCTAATAAAGTGGCCGGTGAGTGTATATATATAAATATATATAGTGTCTTGTGATTATTTGAAAGGATTTTTACTTTTATACTGTAAGTGTATTTAATTTAGTTATAATGCAAATACAATACACATTAAACCAAGMTTTAGAATAATTATCATTTTGATCCATACATTGGTAATGTCTGACTGGGCCTCGCGCCACTTTATGTTCAACAAATTGGGCCCCGAGATCAAAAAGATTAAGAACCTCTGGTTTAGAGGCAGTAATTTGAAGTTTAAACAAAACTATGATTTGATGTCAGGAGCACAGTTTGGAGTTTAGAAGGAAACAAAGAAATACAAATAATTTTTTAACCAAAAAATCTGCAGATGAAAGTTAAGTCATTGGCTTTGAACTTTGGTTTAACCAAGTTTTAAAAACCAAAGGGCAATACTCTTAATTTCGTATTTTATTGTCAAACATTTTGAGACAACCACTGCAATCCATGATCTCCTGTGTATCTGAGACTTTTGCACTTTTCCACAGGTGTTTGTCTTTCTTACCTTTTTTATAACAAAGGAGTACAAACAATTTATTTTTCACTCATTTATTCAGAGTTCGGCGAGGGCAACGAGTTGGGCAACATGTACTCCTTTAGGAACCCCCTGGTGAGGGTGGTGGAGTAAATACAGATTAATAAACAGCCATGTAAAACTAGCAATACAAGAAGATTATAATTAAAAGGACAGGTTCAATCTGTTTTTGTTTAGTTGAGGTTAAATTTGAATGAATTCAGAACCTGGTTAAAAATTATGTCTTTTTTTATTGTCCTAAAATGTAAAACTAAGCGGGTGGAATATCTTTGTCCCCCTGACTTTAGGAGAAAAAGTCTACGGTACTTTCTGATCCCACCCTGAGAGCATAAAATGGGTTGAACATAAAATACTGTCTTTATGGTCCTTTAGGCAAAGCTTTACTGTTTATGTATAAGGCTCACAAAAACATATTACCTTCCAACATTCAAGGAAATTTTGTTAAGTGAGAGAGTTATTATTATTTTAAAGGGATGGAAATGTTTGTGAAGCCTTGGTTTCGTACTAGTTTGAAAGAAAGCTGTACTTTAATCCAGGGTGTACGATTGTGGAAATGTCTTGAGGATGATGTTAAAAGTGCCAGATCTATGTACATATTTAAGAAACAGATAAAAGCTAGTTTTTTGAAGGTATATGGAAAAGTATAATGTGAATCTATATGAATTGATGTTTGAGTTGATGTTTTCATTTAGTATTATTTTTAAATTATTTTTTGTTTGAACATATTCTGGGGATAAAAGAGGGCAGACATTATATGATTTATTATTCTTCTGCTACCTTTCATTAAATTTTATTTTTAATTTTTGATTTGTGTATTTTCTTTGTTTTCGATTTTTATATAGCAATTTTGTTTTTAATGACATGAATAAAAAGAATGAAAGATGAAAGAAGCTCATTAGATTATGAAATTGTAAGAAGTAGATGTCACTAGTTGTGTTTCCATTGACCATGAAAATGCGCAAATTAGAATTTCGAAAATAAATTTGCTCAGTGGAAACACTTCAATTTCGAAAAAAAAAATTACGTTTTTCGACAAAAGTATTTTTGCGCTAGGATGAGGTGGCCTGTACTGAAGTGGCTCCCAGTTTGTGGAATGCACTTCCACTAAATATTAGACAGGCTACCTCATTGTTGTCTTTTAAATCTTTACTTAAGAGTTACTTTTTAAATAAGGCTTTTAATATTTGATAATGTTTTTTGTTCATTTTTGGTTTTATTGTATTTGATTTGGT